AACTTTGTGTGAGCTGGGCGGCTTTTTACGAAAGCCTCCTATCTGGAAGTTCACGCAGATGTAAAGTTTATCAGTTTGTGCTATGTGCTGGTAACTTGCTGCTGTTGGGGTGGTAACTTGCTGTTGGGGTGTGGTGCTTTTTGGGTTGAGCTGGTGCTTTGTACAGATAAGCCCACAATCTGCTTTCTGGTGGATGCTGGTATCCTGCCTCTGCTTTGTGCTGTATGGGTGAACTGACAGAAGTTTGTTTCAGAAAGGTTTTTTCTGTGCTATTTTAAGTATAAGCGTTCTATAAATGTTCTGTATCTTCAAATGACATAAGTCACCATTTTTTTTTCCTTAGAGATTTATTCTCATTTTAATGTTTGGTGGTAACAGTATACTGCAAGCTGCAGAGGGTTTTCAGAAGGATCCTTTCTCCAAGTAGAGTCGAACAATGCAAATCAGACTTTAAGGTTGTTCCTTTTCTGGGCTCTGCATCATAAGCTTACCCTCTGACCTACTGCTTTCACTTCCTGACCTTTTTCTGAGTTTGCCCTCCTTCAGACAGAACTGTGGATTCATCCCTGCTGCAATACTGTCTCTTTCAGCTTTGAAAATCCCTAAGCCATCTTAGTGTTTGTGATATGAAGGTGCATTGCTGAAGTCAGTAAGAATCTTGCCAGTGCATTTGACTATGTAGATGCTGATGCCTATTACAAACTACTTTCTATTGGCTTGATTTATCCTTTGGGCTCTAAGTGGAGTTTAGGGCAGGAGGGACAATCCTGAGAACTTGAGTAACTAATTGGCATCTGTATTTCTCTGACGCCATTATGGAATGGTAGGTGTCTTCCTTATCCTCTGGTCCCAGATGGGAGGACATGGTCACGCTGAGGCAAGGGAATCCAGGTCACAGGATTTTTGAAAGGGGAACAGGAAGTTGTATGGTGACTTGTAGGGAGAGAAAAAAAAAAGGGGGTCTTGTATCCCAACTAATAATTTGGAGAAACCAAAAGAAAATGGAACATTCATCCATAGAGCTAAGATGGTGATCTGTTCTTTTACAACCAGGTCTATTTACCCACACAGTCAGGGGTCAGCAGTAGGTGCATTGGGAAGCATATGAGAACAGGACAAGCAAAGAGTGATTGATTGATTGATTGATTTTCTCTCTTCATTTAGTAAGCTCTCTGGGTCCCAGTGTTTTGAGACTCGGGAGCTTCCTGAGCCAGACGTGGTGTGGTTGTCCTAGTAAGTGTATGTTACAGCTGCCTAAATAATGCCTTGAGGTGAAATTCAATGATATGATGGCCATTTGTGGGCTCCTGGGCTTGGGCAAAAAAATTGTAGCTACTGCATGTTGGTTGCTAAACTGTATTCTGTCCAGAGCAGCCACTTACTAGAGTGTGCATCTTTTCATTGCACATGTAAAAGAATATTTGGTGCTTTCTATCATCTCTTGATAGAGAGATAATCTCTTGCTTTTTATGCCAAAAGCAGGATCTGAAGCAATGTTACAGCTGCCATGTTGATGACTGAAAAATTATTACTTTCTGGTAGCAAGATGCGATCCTCCTGTGACATTGAGAGGACATCTTTACCAGCTTAGTTTTGCAGCCTCGAGTCCTTTAGGTGACCTGAAAAATGGAATGTATAAAGAACCACCCTCAGTAGCATTAAGTCCTGAATTCTCCATTAGCCTTATAGAGGGCATTCTCCACTCACAGTGGTTGTGCCACTTCGTTACTTGATGTAATCTATAAATCATCAATTTGGATGTGGTATCCATCTTCTGATAGTTTGGGATTATCATTTATACTGAGGACTTGATCCAAAGTCTAGGCGAGTCCAGGGAACATTCTTCCAAAGTTTTTAGTTACCTTTGGATCAGAACTCAGGTGTACTTAAGAGATATGACCTCTTTTATTCAACTCAGCTCTCTTTGGCAACTTTTTATTTGTCTGAATGCCTTCCTGCCCAGTTTAGTTCACATGTCCTTTTGCTGATCTTAAATCCTCACTATTTAATCTGTCTACTATACTGCCTCTCAAGAAAGTCTGATATTACTGTGTTGAAAAAACGTGCTTCAGTTTGCACAAAGAAAACACTGGTTCTTTTGCTTTTCTTGCTGTTCTTTCCATCACAAATATATTAATGGCTTTGCTGTTAAAGAATTAAATACTAATGCTATTTGTATCTTATGCAAGAGTATTTGAACATGTTTCTTGGTGCAGATCAGCATGGTCTTAATATCTTAAAAGAAAAAAAAAGGTCTCTAATCTACTTTATAACAATGAATGCCCACTTTTTTTTGTTACTGTTGGTGTTTTATGAAACAGAGAAGATGATGAGCAAGTTTCTTTCTGAGCTTCTAATAAATGCATTATCTTTTACTTATTCAGGTAGTGTCCCGTCACTAGCTGCTGGCCTTTTCTTTGGGAGTTTGGCTGGACTGGGTGCCTATCAGCTCTCACAGAATCCAAATAATGTTTGGATTTCTCTGAGTAAGTCATTTAAAATTTTAATTAGAAGGGATTATATTTAACCTAAGGTAACTGGATAGCTAAAATGAGTAGCTAAAAGTCTTTGCAGAACAGTTAAACTGATGTTGTTATAAATCTAGTTTCAATCCAATCTTTAAACTTGTGTTTTAGTGAAAAATCTCCATTAGTGGCCACACTCCACTGCTCTCCCTGGAATGTGAACTGTCAGCATTACTTAATTATTTTTTTTAAAGAATGGATTGAGAATGCGTACTAAAAACTGCTTGTCTTGGTGTGTTTTGCGCAGTGACTTCTCACTACACTCCTGCGTCCCTTTTGCAAGAAGTATGAAGTGCTTTGGGTGATAGTTCAAACTCACATCTTTGTTCCTTTTCTACAACAGGAGAGGAAGATATCTGTTGTTTATCATTAGAGTTTGTCTTCTGAACATCAAAAAACCTACAGGTTGCGAAGGAAATTGTGTGCTAGGATAAAGTGAAACTTACATGGTTTAAAAAAAATAATCAAACCAAATACCATTATTTCACATCCTTCAGAAAAAAAAAACACCAAAAAACCCCCCATTTTGTGTTTAAAAACTTGTATGTAGTATGGTGTGAATCTCCAAAATGCAATTTTTGTCTTTCTGCCATTTACCATAAAGAGGTCAGGGTTGTGATCAAGTTAGGATGGTTATCACCTGTCACTTTAACCTGTGCGTGCCTAAAGCTCATGCCAGTTACAAAATAATGCGACTTGAACTTTTCGCGTTCACTAATAAGTCAGGGTACCTTGCAATTGAAGTAGGCTGAGAAAATACATGTAGATAATTCCTGCAGCTCTACTGATGCCTGACGCTTGTTAGGCTGCTGCATCTAAGATACTTGTGAGCATGTGTTTTGTGTAATCCTTTGGCCAGTATCTGTGTTGGTAGTATCCTCTCCTCTCCTGATCTGTAGAAGACACCAGTGCACGACAGTGCACTGCTATGTTTCACAGCTATGAAACTGCTATGTTTCAGTCCCCAGGCTTGGCTGAATTGGTGGCTTCTGCCATGCACCTGTCTCGTACTGGTGTGTTCAAAGGATCATAGTGCAAGGGAAGTGCTAGTAAATGGATGTTCGACCTCTGTGTATCTTCTTTTTGGCTGGATCCTACTTTCAGCATTCTGCAGGAGGCTGGAGCATTTCAGGAAGCGTGATTCCCCTGCAGACTGCCCATACCCCTAGCAGGTTATGTGTATTACTGCTGAAAATGGCAGAGACTGTGATTGGCTTATTTTTATATGTGACAAATATGTAGAATTACAAAGGTGTTGCACAGCTGGGGAGGTTTAACAGAGAAGCAAGCTTCAGTAATGCAGTTTCTTCTTCCTTGTTCTCATAACTGGAGCTTCCCTTCTCCCTGACTTTGAGAAGATAACTGCTTAGTCAGTGCTTAAAAAGCTGCCACTGACTATGGCGTTTGTTCACTGAAGCAGTGACATAGCATCTAGCTCTTTGGTGTGTGAAAGTCAGAAGTGAAAGGGGAAGGCCCAGCATTTCTCTCCACTTTAGCATTGTCTACAGTGCAGTCCACTTTCTTATCTACTGGATAGGTCAAAAGCTGTGCATGGTCAAGCCTAAATAACTGGAATAAACTGCAAATACAGCAAGCTTAACAGGAGTGAGACAAAATATTTTCCCAAATGTGAGAGACAGATATATTTCTATAATTCAGTAGCGCATGCTTTAAAGCTTTTGGAGAAGGTGTGTTCTACTGCTGTCTTAGACAAAATTACGATTTAGTGAGGTGTGCATATTTTGAAGACTGGCTACTGATCAGAGCTTGAGGTATTTGAATACCAAAGTGGTTTAGTTCTTCATTGTGTATTAGACTGTGGTCCCAGTCTTTTACATATCTACTTAAATAAAACTGTTAGATGTCAAGGACAATATTTAGGGTGGTGGTAGGGAGGATGGATGCCATGGCTAGGATTGAAGATGAGCTGGGTCCTGCAGGACCAGCCATCACATAGAAGCAATGGTAGAAAATAAGAGTGGTTGGAACAATATGTTAATGTGTAGCTGTTACCACTGGGTAGCAGATGGATGCTAAGGATTTAATCAGTATGTTTTCCTCATAGATTTCTTGGTATTCCATCTTTCTTTGAGATACAGTGTTCCAGGGATTGCCCTTTCTATTTTACTGGCTCAGTGAAACTACCTGGCTCTTGTCTCTATGTCAAGTGGTCAGGGTGGATTGCTTTAACTCTCTGATTTTAGTAGAAGGTGGGCCAGGGCTGAAATGGATTGGTAATGCTTAGCACTTACATAGCACATTTCCCTTTTAAAGTCTTTTGCAAACATAAATTAGTTAATTCTCAGAACATACAAGTTAGACAAGTCAATTGCTATCTCCCTTTTACGAGAAGTGGGTGAATTATATGCACAGGTTTAGTGATTTGCCTGTGCAACAGGGAAGGAGTCAGTTCCAGAGCAGCATAGCATAGATTATTTCCAGGCTCCAAAGAAGCACATTTTGACAAAGAAATGTGAGGACTGTGTGCAGAAGCATATGGAGTGCACTGTCTGCTAGAACTTGATTTAGAATATTTACTCTTCACATACCAATGCATTCCAAAGTTTACAGAGTTCATTGACTCTTTTAGTCCATCACATGAAATAACCCTGTTTCACTTTTTAGTTGATGCTACTACTTCTCTCTGTTCTGTTAGTTTTGAATTGTAGCATCTCTGTCACACACATGCATCTCTGCTGACTGGACTGTACAATCTCTCATTTAAGTTACATCTGGAACGCTGACTGCTGTCATGGGAACAAGATTTTACAACTCTGGAAAATTCATGCCTGCAGGGCTAATTGCTGGTGTCAGGTACAACACAATATACTTTTTTTTTTAACCTCTGGTATGTGATTTCTTATTTGCTTAATTAAACTGAGATGGAGTGAGTCGTATTTTGTGTATCTTTTTTGTTTCTATGCACCAGTTACATGGGAAGTGCTTGAAAATGAGTTGACAAATTATTCTTATTGTTGCTTAATTCTGTGTTTTCCCCCATTTACAGTTTGCTAATGGTTGGAAGATTAGCACTGAAGATGGTGGAAAAGCCCCATGATTAGTAACTGTTCATTTTACAGTTTAATAACTGGATAAGAAAACCTGATAGTGAAGTTGCTTGAATGCGGAAGCAAGAAGATGGAACAATTTTCTAAATCAAGACAAATTTTTTCCTTTTTTTTTTTTTAAAAAGGGGAGTAGAATGATGGGATGGATAGTTTACACGCAAGGTGCCATTTGTTTCAATGATCTGATAGAGCTATTATTGTGTAGTGAGAAATTTTTCCAGACACATTTCAGTGTATTTTAACACTTCCAGTTTCTATATTCCAAAATATACTGCTGACATGTGTGAAGCAGAGAGGACCTGTAATTAAGAAAGTATCCACAAAGAGGCACCAGGGGTAATTGGCTAAATACAAGTGTATCTGATACTTTTCATACTGAGTATTACAGTATGCTTTACCTGTTGCATTCTGAGTTGATACACCATGTCTGTATACCACCAAACAGAGCTTATCTTTTATTGTGAAATGATGCTAAAATGTTGCTTTTCTACAAGTAAAATCTGTTACAAAAACGTGCCAAATAAAGGTTTCTATCCTTTCTGTGTGTATGGGGGTAGTGTTTTGTTTGGGTTTTTTTTTTTTTTTACCTCCTTGTTTTCTTCTCAGTGCAAGTCTTTGCAGTGGACTGTTACCCAAGTGCTGTCTTTCAATGGTATTTAAAAATCACTTTTTAAATGGAGGGGCAGAAGATTAAATTAGAGGCCTTCATTAACACTGCATTAAAACAGTTGTTGGAAAGGAACTTACTCTGTGGATTAATTAAGCGAGATCTGTGCTAGGCTAAATGAACAGTTGAATGTGATCTGTCCAAAGGGCTGTATAACCAGAATAAAGTAGCTTAACATTAGCACTATGTAATTCTGATCTTACAGGCTTAGTTAACAATAGAATGTATCAGCATTTTATTTTATCACTTAGGGAAGTGGCTGTGCCTCTTCAAATCTGCCTTTACGAGGAAACCTTGGAGTCGGGGGAGTTCCTCATTCTGCTGTGGTGCCTGAGGACTGAAGTGTGGAAGAGGCATCAGTGGCATCTGGTGCCTTTACTGACACTACAATCTTGGTTACTTCTCCTGCACTCAGTCTCCCGGCTCTGCTAGTGCAGGGACAGCTAACGTGGGCTTAGCACTCTGATGGAAGGGAGAGGCAAGAAAGGTGTAAAAGAAAATCCTTTATCAACTTACTCTGTAGTGATATGTGATTACTGATATAATAGGATTCTTACAGTGTGTAACTCATATTTTTAAAGTGATATTTTATGTAGGGACTATTTAAGATTTTACTTTGGGACCTCTTTACCCTTGATTATATCAAAGCTTTGTCAGCTGCATAATGTAATAATGGCAAAGCAGGTTTAAATTAATTTAAAAGAATTTTATTTAATTAATCTTATGCACAGTACTTCCCATTTTGTAACAATTCTCTCAAACTGCATAAAGCAAATACTAAACTAGATAATTGCTCCATTTCATTGGTGTCATGGTTTAGCCCCAGCCAGCAACTAAGCACCACGCAGCCGCTCGCTCACTTCCCCTACCCCGATGGGATGGGGGAGAGAATCGG